CTTTCTTTTGAAGTTCTAAACGTTTTGCATGCTGCTGTTGTTTGGCTCGCAGGCACTCGATCTCATTTGCCAACGTTTAGTTGGCTACTTTTAGTTCAAAGTCTAACTTCCGAGATTGAAATTCCTTTCTAGGAGACTCACTTGGCGTAAACAGCCGTGGTGTTTTGTCTTCTCCTCTGTTTGAGGCACTCATTTTGGCACGACTTGAATGACTCTTTCACAATATTCAACCACACGGTTCGGCGATAATTACACGCAGTTAAACGGCTGACTTACAATTTTATTTCGCACAATATCTGGCTGGGTGAAGCAAATGTTGTGCTTGAAGACGTTTAAACCCTGCTGGTTCGTTTTTGACAACACCGTTCACGTTTTACAATTCAACTCATCTCACACGCACACACATAACCCCTAGCAACGAGCTGGCTAGCCATTCATAACATAGTATGGCGACCGGAAATGAAAGTTCAGAAAGCGGGAGGCAAAGCATTGGTCGTCAAGAAGGTTCGCTCGCGTGATCGAAAGTCCTTTAAAACGAGAAAAATTAAAATGACCCGATCTAGAGGCCACTGCTTTAATTTAATTTACAACTAAAGTGCATTACTTTAGCATGTGTTCCGCGGCGGCGTAGATATAACCGCGGGTGTTTAAGAAACTATTTTCTTCTTACTGCTTTGAGGTGGCTCAAAACAGTTTCCAGCAGTTAGATTTTGATGGGTCATTATAACCACTCTTTATCACTTGATGCTACAACCGTGGTATCAAAATAACTGGTCAATCAATTTTGAACACGTGGTCATCATTTTCGTGACACAATAGGTTACTATGGCAACAGAATGACCTGCTAAAAACACCCTGAATTACAGCTTTAGGGGCTTATAATTCAAACAAACGAACAAATCGAACAAAACAGAGTAGCCTCCCGCCAGGAATATTTGATAACCAGACGTCCTTAGAGGAACTGTAAGTGTTTGTGTTTCTGTTTGTGTTATTATTATTATTATTATTATTATTGTTATGATTATTAACTGAAAAAGAGTGATATTGCTAATTCATCAAGGAAGAAGACTGAAAATGCTGGAGACTGTTTTGAGTCAATGGTGCTGCGGGATGTTTAGGGACGTTGTGGTTTTCCTGATTTAAATGTTGTTTCGTCATTTGCGCGAGCAATTCTAATCTGGGTGCGCGTTTAGCAAATTGCTGCCATTAAAATATTTTGTCCTCTTTGTAAAAACGACCAATGATGAGCGCCATTTTTTAGGATCATTATATATTATTATTTCTTGCTATGGGTTTAATCACCAGCTCAACCACTTGTATAATTATTTATTTATCGTCGTTATTAAAATCATTTCTTGGCAGGGACTTGGGTATAAACCAGTTACAGCAGCTACCTCCGAGGGTATTTGATCGCAATACTAAGTTGACGGAGCTGTAAGTGATGCGCTTCCTTCGTCGATAGAAATAATGTTAATCTTATTAAGTGGCAGGGAATAGCTTGAAGCCGAGGCTAATCAGATGTTAAAATAAACCCTTTCCTCCAGACAGTTTTGACGAGAGTAGTTGGTTGGCGACACAGCCTGTTTTTCCTTTTAACCAAAACAATAATACTGTCCTGTTTTATGGCAAATAAAAAATAGGAGAAAGAACGCTAAGTCCGATTAGAACAGGTCGCAACTTAATGACGGTTGACAAGTAGAGGCCCAGTGGATGGAGCCCTGTGTGGGCAGATTCAAGGTTCATAAATTAATAACCATGGTATAATACTCATTATTATCAATTTGTCGGGCATTGTGGCGCATTTTACGCGCTAAAATGGAGAATTTGACGGGCTAAAATGTATTTTAGCCCGCTGAAATAAACCAATGAAAAGTGAGAGTCGAACTTGTATGATGTAAGCAGCTAATCAAAATCAAAAAGCCATAAGAATTTTCGCGCCGCTTTCTTGCAGCGAGGCGTTGGTGAGAGAAATAACGGCGCCATTTTCCGCCAACGAACATAGCTTGACATGCTGCTTAAAGAATAGCTCAGTCTCACAGAAACGTGCTTGTTCGGACATTCTTAGTCGTCCGTTTCTTTCAAGAGGAGCTTGTGATGTCAATACCGCCTGTAGTAGCTCCATGGCCACTGGCAAAGTCCATGTAAGTTTTGCCGCTTCAGTTCAAACGCACTCAGTTCAACCAATTAAGCTTATGCCAAACTGTCAGTTTAGCAATTGTACAATTAATTTCAACACTTACAAAGAAGTTTAATCGAACTTTCCTTTCATGTCTTTTACAAATTTTGAAAACTCAAAAGGCAAGATTTTGTAACTTTTAGCCAGCTTCGCTTGATGTACTGTACATTTTCATTGCGGGAAAATAACTTGTAAACGCTCGCGGGATTGTTCAGACTGTTTTGTTGTCATTTTTTTCAGTTTTTATTTTCCAGTGCCCCTCTCAGAGCTCATTTTTCTAAAATGAGTCTGAGTCGGGCCCAGAACACATTAATACATGCGAACATAAACTCTATTGTTTTATTAGTAGAACTCCTTTTGAACACTACTGAAAACGCTGCAATCTGATTGGCTGAGTGACCGTACACTTTCAGCCAGTAGTGCGCAGTGGCTGAGTGTGGTCGACAAAATTGCAACGTTTCCTTGTTTCTCGGAAATTTTGAAAGATGAAATGGATAAACAAACTCCTGAGAAGACTATGAGGAGGGCATCTACGGTTTCTTGAATTAAAAAAACTCCAAATTTTTGAAAGAAATTGGTAAGCTCGCGTACAAAAATAACTGGAATAGTTATTTGAGGGAGATTTCAGTCAGAATTCTACTAAAACAATTAGATTATTCGCTCTCGATTTCTATGAGGTGATAGTTGATTTGGCCTTTGGCCTCGTCCACTATCACCTCATAGAAATCTTGAGCTTGTAATCTAATTGTTAATTAGTGCAATGCGCACGCATGTCGTTCACTTCTTTACCTTGTTTATCGTCTTAATGGAGAGAATGCATATCGAAGTTAATAACGCCTCGACTGTAACATGAACTGTGATGTCGCTAAGAGGGTGAAAAGGAACAAAACAACTTCTCTTAGAGTCAGGTGACCGGGAAGAGTAAGATCTCTTAGATATTCGAGGAAAAGGACTGTTAGTTTCAACATAGTGTTCTGTCAACGTTCTTGACGTCAATGGGTAGAAATAATAGCACTAAAACCAGGAATGTAATAGAAATATTTGCATGTTTTACTGGCTGCCGAACAAATGCTGTTGTAATTAATAGTTTAAAAGGATTGCAGCTACACGTTGTTGATCTCGACAGTTCCATTTAGTTGTTTCTTTAAAATCAAATTCTTTCGATGATTAAGTCGATAATATGGAAAATTCCCTAATACTCTCCGTGACTGATGAAAATTGTCTTTAAGGTTAAAGGCCTTGTTTCATATGTCAAATACGCAAGACGTTAGTCGTTGGGTGAACCGAAAATCCTTTTCAAAAGAAACATCGAAAAGAGCTGATTGAGCAGTTACTGGTTTTAGTATAAGTTCAACCTGTGTGCCCCTCATTCCTCCGGAGAGCCTCATTTCCGGTCACTTTCGGGTTCGAACTTTGTTATTCTTCGAAAAAAATAAATCAAAGACAGTCAATATACTTAACTAAACTAATTGTTTATTTGTTAATTGTTAATTTAACATTTAATTGTTAAATGCGAAATGGCAATGTGGACTGTCTAAACGATGCACAAAGAAGAAAAAAATATGGCCAGTTACGATAACTTTGTGAATAAACCGTGTCACGTCCTCCACAACAACTTAGATCACCGTCCGCTAATTAATTAGCGTTAATATTCCGTTCAACTTCAATTAATATTCCGTTCACCATCGAGTCACTTGAACTTTTGCACGACGTCTATGCGCAACGACTGCCAAAGCTTTTTAAACTGTTCATTGGATTTACGAAACGGATTGGATTTATGTGACCTCGGTCATGATTATTATATCTATTATGTTTTTGCTTAAACAGAGTACATTATCAGCTGTTATATTTCTATTTCTGCCATTAGTCTTGTTGCTTTTGTGTGTATATTATATTCGCATGTTGTGCACGAATGTTTGTGTGGTATCAAATAACGTGGTGTCAGATGAATGTAATGTATTCTTGGTTTTCATTTGCGCACCTCC